GTGCCGAGGGGCCGGCCGGGCCCCCGCCCTGGGGCGAGACCACCTGGATCTACCACGATGGCGAGGACACTAAGATGATCGTGGGCGAGGAGAAGAAGTTCCTGCTGCCCTTCTGGCTGCAGGTCATCTTCATCTCGCTCCTCCTCTGCCTCTCGGGCATGTTCAGCGGCCTCAACCTGGGCCTCATGGCCCTGGACCCCATGGAGCTGCGCATCGTGCAGAACTGCGGCACGGACAAAGAGAAGAACTATGCCAAGCGCATCGAGCCCGTGCGCCGCCAGGGCAACTACCTGCTCTGCTCCCTCCTGCTAGGCAATGTCCTGGTCAACACCACGCTTACCATCCTGCTGGACGACATCGCTGGCTCTGGGCTGGTGGCCGTGGTGGTCTCCACCATCGGTATCGTCATCTTCGGCGAGATCGTGCCGCAGGCCATTTGCTCTCGGCACGGCCTGGCCGTGGGCGCCAACACCATCTTCCTCACTAAATTTTTCATGATGATGACCTTCCCGGCCTCCTACCCTGTCAGCAAGCTGCTGGACTGTGTCTTGGGCCAGGAGATCGGCACGGTCTATAACCGTGAGAAGTTGTTGGAGATGCTGCGGGTCACCGACCCTTATAATGATCTAGTCAAGGAGGAGCTCAACATTATCCAAGGAGCCCTGGAGCTGCGCACCAAGACTGTGGAGGACGTGATGACTCCTCTCCGAGACTGCTTCATGATCGCTGCTGAGGCTGTGCTCGACTTCAACACTATGTCTGAGATCATGGAGAGCGGTTATACCCGCATCCCCGTTTTTGAGGGCGACCGCTCCAACATCGTGGACCTGCTCTTCGTTAAGGACCTGGCATTTGTGGACCCCGATGACTGCACTCCGCTCAAGACCATCACCCGCTTCTACAACCATCCGCTGCACTTTGTCTTCAATGACACCAAGCTCGATGCCATGCTGGAGGAGTTCAAGAAAGGTGGGCTTGTGGCGGAGGCGTGGGGGCAGGAGGTGCTGCTCGGGGGTGGTGAGCATCTACCTTCTTGAGGCGAGGGACCTCTGCAGAGAGGCCTCTTGGGTTCCTGCTTGCGAGGGGTTTGGGAAGGTGCATTCAGGACAGAGAGCGACCAGTATTTAGGCATCCGTCAGATTCGCCCGTTCCCTGGGCCAGAAAGCTGATACGTGGCTGGTATGTTACCCTGGCCTCTTTTCCCCACTGCACTGGGATGTGTGTGTGGGCATGATGCCAAGCAAGGTTGTTTTCTTTTTTGCTTTTTCCACTCATCTGTCCGTTATAGTGAGAACTGCTGACGGGAATCCATGCCTGTTACTTGACTGTGTCTTCTTCGTGCTTTTTCAGCTGGCCTGACAGTGAGGAGTGGGTGGGCTGCTTGGGTATCTTTCAAGCTTACTGCATGCACACGTGCTGAGATAAACAAGGCGTTTTAGCTCCATTCATAGGCTCTGCTGGCCGACATCAGCTCTGTGCTCGTGTTCCAGTTACTTTGATTGACGCTTTGATCTTCTAACTCATAAATAGTTTCAGGGTCTTAAAACACGTTCAAAAGCACCTGTTGGTGCTGCACTTCAGTTACAGGTCTTTTTCCCTACGCTTCCCTCTGCCCCCAGGACCACAGGCTCAGCAAAGACGTGACCCTTTCTTCTGCTCCGGTGTAGCATGCGTATTAGTTGCATCAGAATGGGACTGAGGCTTTCTGGACCCGTCTTAATTGTAGGAGATGTTTGACCTGACAAATGCGTCTTAATTCCCGTTAGAAGCTTTTGCTTATGAGAAAGGAAAAAACCTTTTCTTGTTTTCCTTTTTAAATCTGTTCATCTCCGCAAGCCAAATAATAGTCATATATGACCTGTGCAGGAAAGTGCTTTCAAAGAAATAGTGAAGTGAAATTCCAAACAGATTGGATGTGTGGGCTCCTGTGCTGGAAAACTGAAGGCCACTGGAGTGCCACGGAGCTGTTCATACCCGGGAAGATCTGATCAAAGTACCGCCCAGCAGCTCAGTCCCTGGGAGATGATCTGGCTGAAAGACGAGATCTTTACAGCTGTGCTGACCCCACAGTTAGGTTAATGGGGAATATTTGGGTTCACCTTTTATCAACTGCGAAAGTTAGCTTGAGAACTTTGTAAATGGTGAATGGTCTTGCTAGGTAATAAATTTAAATCACCTCTTGAATTTCAGGTGCTGTTTTGTCCACACACTGAGCTCTGACAGCATGGCATTTGATCTGTTTCTTCCCGTTTAACTCAATTTTGAGGATTTAGAGGGTTACCCCATTGATTTCCTCATCTTTATTTCATCTTCGCGGATAGAGGTGAACATACTCCTGCTTTTTACTGACCAGTGCAGCAGCAGTTTTCTTTATCTCTTTCTGCCTCTGTGCAGTGATGGGGAAATCTTCCCTGGGTTTGGAGCTGTTGAAGGAGAGGTGAGGGAGAGACTCCCTCAGCTGTGGTTTCTGCACTGCGGGATCTGCAGCTCGAATCTGGGAAACTAAATGATGTCACTTAACTGTTGGCTGGTTAAGATGGATTTCACTGCATGTGCAGACATAGGGTTCTTCTCCCCCTCTGCCCCAGTTATTCGGACTCCAGATAGCATGGTGGGGTTCTTAACTTGTAGCGAGACTTGTATTTTTTCTAGTTTTGTTTGTAGCAATGTGCCTGAAGAAATGGGTATTATGTTGGTCGCTTTATTTCCTCTGAAAGAGATGAAATGCACTCCTGTGCATTAACATAACAGTATTTTTATTTAACAGCTGGGAGAATTAGGTGTGCATTTTAATCCTGCAAGTGTGGCTAAGCCAAATATGCCTCCTTAATGGTTCCTGAAACTTGTGCTTAAAATAGGCTGCTTAAAAATTCTCCTGGGTGGCTGGGAAGGTGCAGACCAGAGATCATTTTCCCCGGTAGCCAGAGTACCTCCCTTGCCTGCCCTAGGAAATGTCCCAGTAGCACAAGTTTAGGATGACTTCCGAACACGTGTGTTCCCTCCTGAGATCGCGGTGTCCTCAAATAGTTTCTGTGAATTAATTTAGGCTAGTTTGATCAAATGTAAATGTTTACTCCAGAATAACTATGCTGGTTGGTCTGTATGGACGAACCCTGGTGTTAGGACCAGCTCTGTCTTAACTGGTTTCTCTTTAAAAAGTGCAGATATAGTGGAAATAAATGGCTTCTTTTGTGTCCTTTGAAATGAATGTAAATAACTGATAGCTTGCTTGATCTGGCATAGCACAGTGTCTTTTGCAAGAGTTCTTCAAACTCTTCTTCAGAGCAACCTTGCCAAATTCCCGTGAGAATGTACAAATTAAGGGTGAGAATCAAATTGCATGTTACTCTCTGGTAGAGTGTTGAAAATAAATAAGCTTGCAGTTTTGAATCGTTCCTTTCCCATCACATTGACTTTCCACCACAGTAGGCTTGCTTCAGAGCTCACGTATATGTCTGTTTTTTTTTTTCCCACCCAGGTCCCTGCTACCACCGCTCGGTGCAATGGGCAGCTTGTGCAATAGTGCTGTCAGTTGAATACTTTAATCGTTTTAAGGAGAGAGGCCGTTTTGTTGTTGTTTTTTTTTGTTAAGAAGTTTGGTGATTAACTGGGTAGGTATAGTTTTGAAGCTTACTTTTTGGGCAGGAGCAAAACGTACTTAACCTAAACAGAATAAAGGCTTAGGAGGAGGAGATTAAAAGCCAAGCATAGCAGGATATATGTCCTTACACTGTTGCGGAAGATGAAACGGGTAGTTCTGTACTTGTTCTGGTGCTTAGGCTGAACAGCTGGAGGATTTGGTGGTGGGCTATTATTAATGTTCTTTGCCCACAATTGCAAAATAAGTATGTTTTGCTTCTATGCTGCTAGGCAAGAAACTTAATTTTAAGAGAACTGCAGCACATTCCCACTCCCTTGTTGCTCTAATCTCTTAAAGTGTGAATAAACATGATTTCTGAAGCAGTCTGCAAAAAAGCTTCTCTTCTAAAAAGCATTGTTTACTTACGAATAAATAAATAGCTTTTGAAAGAGGAGCAATCTTCTATTCCCATCAACAGACCTTAAACCTCTACCAGCCCTGTCAAATCTATTTGCCTACAAGTTGAGCAGAGTGTTTAACTTACTTGAATTCAATCATTCAAATTGAATGCGAGGAAGTATAAGGTACCCTTTATACTGGCCTAGGAAGTGACCTGCCTGACTTTGCTCCATGCAAAGAGATACCTCATTTGAAACGAGTCCACTCCCACCTAATCTCATGTTGGCCATTGCTGTAAAGGGGAGCAAGGCGTTACCTGTTCAGGATTGATTTGTGTACTGGCTCCTAAACTGCAGCAGGGAGTGAATGAGTGCCAAAGTCATTTTTGGAAAGAAGCTAGTGAACTGTCTCTTCTGATCTCCTTTTTCTTGTTGACAAGTGTGTGGGCTTGCTCCTCCCCTCCCGCCCCCTACTTTTTGACAGTTTTCCTAGGTCTCTGCTCAAATGCTCTCTGGCACTTGCTCTTGGTGTTTTTCACAGGCAGATCTCTGCATGTGTGATCCTAAATCCAAAGTGTTCTATTTCTAGCTCCCTGCCTGCCAGAGCTACAAGAATTCAGCTTGAAAAGCCTCATGTTGTAATACTAATATTTTAAGATTGGCCCACTTTCTACGAGCCATTGTTCAGCTGCTTTCCTGGTGGCCTGGACAGCTTTGGAGGGCAGCAGTTTCTCAATCAGAGTCTTCCTTATCTGGCAACTTTCAGTCATATGTTTTGATCTTATTTATATCTCTCTCCACTATTATGTTATACTAAAGATCAGAGTTAATAACCTGTTACAAAGTCACAGTAACTGTGTGCAGCAGTTCTGAGCTCTTGTTTTCTGAATCACATGGCAACCTTGATAAAATTCCTAGATTCCTTCTTAAAATCATTGCCAACTGGACCTTAAATTTATTTTTTTTTCCTAAAAACCTTGTCAGATTTAACTTGATGATCTTCTCTTCATGCTCTGTTGGTCTTGTATTGTCTGTTTTTAATAGTGTGTATGTTTGGTGGCTATATTTAGTGTGGACATAGGACCTGGAGAAAAACTTTCTCTGTTTCTTTCGTAGTTCCTCCTCCAAAGAAAACCAAGCCCCAGCAACCTGAAACCTAAAACTCTTAGTTTTGAGGGAGCAGAGGAGAATGCCTAGACCTATTTACTCCTCTTTTGAGCGCATAGATCCTCTTTTTTGGAAGCAGGTAGGACAGTAAGTGATTGTTAGCCCAGAGATCCAAAGTTCTGCATTACTGTTGTTGGTCTGAGTTTTTTGTTGTTGTTGCTTTTTTCCTATTATTAAGTTACTTACCTTTCTGGTACAGCTCTAACCCAGGCTTGTAGGTAGTTTCTTTCCTGGTCCCTTTCAGGTTTTATGGGTTCCCATCCTTTTTTTGAATTTGAGTCCAGACTTCCCATGAATAACCTTTATTTAATGGATCTGAATGCTTACTTTCTAGTTTATCTAACAGGTTGTCTGTCTCCTGAGCCGTTTTTCTGTGTAAGCCTGTGACTGCAGCATTGCGAGAAACTGGAAGAAACTACATAAATCCCTTCTGGGATTATCAAAGGCATGTAAAACTCCTTCTTGGAAAACAATATTGTTTTCAAGGCTGCTTGGCTAACAAAAGGCACCTCCTCTGATCCTTTTGGTTGAATTCATTATAAAGGGAAAGGTGTTGAGGAGATGCAGCATGGAGACTTTTTTGTGTGAAGAGAGTAGGGGAGTGGTAGGTGGGAGGGAATTTGCCACCAAGATACAGAAGACTTAGCATGATATGCCTGCAGATTTGTTCCCTGAACAAAAATTACATGTGGGGGTGGGGGTTGCCTCGTGACAAACCGTTTCTTGGCTGTCTGACAGCGTAGCACCCGCAGGTACTGCGCTGCCAAGAGCTTTGCTGGCCTTGCAAAGCTCCTGGGGATGCGTGCTCGTTCCACTGGAGAGGAGTGGATGTGGGTTACTGCCGGCAGCCCTCCTGCTGCTGCTGCGCTGAGCGAGAGGCGTCGAGGAGACT